AGCTGAAAGCAAACAGGACATATAGTTTAATGCAAAAAGAGTGATATATTGAACTAGATAAACACAAAGCCTTAATAACTCTTCTTTTTTTTACATTTTACAATCATTTTTATCCTGATGAGAGTTGTCTACCTTGAAAAAAACCGGAACTTTTTGTAGAGGGATACAATTTATACAATGACAGTTATTTTACTTTACCAAAAACGACGGAAACAAATTAATTTATGATATTAAAACTGTCAATTTACTGTTCTTTTATAGATCAAAATTACTCTCAATCACGTACGCTTTGGACATCATTCCATATCCCGCTTACGCCTGGAATATTTACATGTCAGGTACATATGTAACCATAGGCTATCGCATGGGAGCATTTTATAGGAATCTTAACATTTTATAAAACACTATTTTCACAGAGTTACATGTATTGTTATAGCATTTGTGAAATGATTTACCTTACAGAGCGTAACTCGCTCGACAACAAAAACTGTAGCAACCCCGAGCTTGTGAACTAGTGTTAGCACCTGAAATGTACAGGTGTGTAAACAAAACACATCAGTCTGCATTCGATGCCCCGCATAAACGACCTTCCTGAGGTCGTCTGATCGTATGTCAATGTCTTCCCGTGAGTTAATTTATGTCTTTGTATCATACGCTTTATTTCCAAGTAAGTCTCGATATCAGGTGTTGACATATCATCGTCACGCACGTGCACTATTGTTTACCCGGTGTTACTTTAATTTACGCTACGATAATTGAATGCCCGATACGCAATACGGAACTGACGACACGAAAATAAGACAAGAAAAACATGTGTATTACGAAGTCCTTAAATGTTCACCATGCTTCTCATGCGGCACGACAAAGCACAGAAAGGCAGAACAGTGAAGAAAGACATTGTCAGTATGGTAGGTTTTAAGCAAAACTTCAAAACTAACTAAAATTTCTGGATTTCTTTTTCCAAAAACAATCTACATTTTAAAGAAAGTGGTAGCTATGGGAGACCCTGTTTATTACATGTCTGCCGGTGAAATATCTTATTCTATTAACTTGATAAAACAAATATCTTTCACACTGTGACAAATATTTAAAAGTGATATTTTCACAGTGTGAAAATATAACTTTTTGGTATTGACCAATCATAACGGTTTCTTCTATTCGCTGCATTCAAAGGCAACAATTTTTTGTTCGGATTCAAATGAAGCGACAGTAGAATAAGTGGTTGTTATGGTAAATGTTTGGTACACACACTTAAGTATTTACATGAATTTACAATTAATAACATTTGTATAAGCAATCATACCAAAAAATAGCATCAAACGTCGGAATAGCGTTGAGTATCCCATTCAAAATGGCGCGCAGCCTTGTTAAGAGTGACGTCATTATAGTATGGCGCTAATTATAACGCTTCTGATTCCCGCCCTTTTTTAATGCATTTCATTTTTCATGTTTTATACTTTAAAAATGTAATAAATAAAAAATGTAATGGTGTCTTCAGTAATAAAAATATATTTCACTCGGGTGGCTAACACAATCAATATGTTTCACTTGTGCTACGCACTCGTGAAAAATATCAAAATATTAGCCACACTCGTGAAATATATTTGTTATTTCTGAAAACACCATTAAGTATCCTCTTTATATGTTATAAACATAAACTTATTGATACTTTGCAAAACAACAAGCAAATTTCGCAAGACTACCAATTCTCAAAAATCACCTAGACATGACATATTTTATCTAAAAGGAAACTTGGAACTTATAGAAGTAACAAACTGTATCCGGAATATTATCAAAAGGAACACAATCAATCATAACTGCACAAATACTTAGAGTGCATAGCAAGAGTTCCTAGTTTAAAATATGAATGATAAACCGCCAGAATAAGATGTATAGGAAAGCAAACAAAGGGGCACAACTCACAAGTTCGTGAAAATCCAGCCCTAAATTTCTGTCATTTTAAGGATGCTTCTACACCAAAGTCAAATAACTTTGGCTACTTCAACTTCAACTTCTGACAGGTCAATGACCATTGGTGAGACTTATTTAGCTGTCAAAAATCAGACCAAAAAATACTGCAGTACAATTTTATGTCAACTTATGTATTAGTGGATTTGAACACCACTGTAAATATGAATGTTGAACAGAAATATTTTAACATTTAAGCGAACACATATTTATTTTTACAATCCTTTTAATCACAGATTTAGGGAATGCATGGTTTAAATGTTGTTTGTTGGTGTTTAGTGGATCGAAGAGATACAAGTATAACCATTGTTTAAACACAGTATTCTAAAAGATATGATTAAGGTTTCAGACTCTTTTCGGTTGTAGTAAAGTTGTCGAAGAATCATATATTTGGCAGACCTTTATTATACATATGACTTAAAAGTGGTTGCGAGGATATATTAAACCAAATAAACTAAGTGATTCCTATTTCTTATACAGAGAACAGTGTGGAAATACAGATGAACTGAAGGTATTGAAAATAACGTCAGGTAATTCGGGTAAAATGGACTTCCATCATAATTTTACATATTCATAATGTGTTTATACAGCCTCTCTTAAAACAACACATTCCATTCATGTTTTAAGCCTGTTTTTGTTGTCATTATCTGTCCAGCCTGTAACATCTCATCTTTGCTAGCGTTCATTTTGTATTCACATATTCTTGTATTCAACCTTAGCGGATTTAGCCTTGTTCTCTAAGCAAATAATTGAACCTGGCACAGGGACTTGGCACGAATTACCATCCTATGGTCCACATATTTTTTTTTTATATCATACATTATATAATACACATATGTGAACTGAGGGTTAGAAATTAATACCAAGTCCCTGTACATGTAAATAATAATGGCGGCCTCCAGTACGAAGTTGCCTTTTCGACTATGTCATGATTTATGTAAAAAAACAAAAACAAAGGAGGACAATAACTTAAAGAAACATTTTCTGTATTTGATCAGTTGGTAGAGATAATTGACCATATTCTAACTGTAAATGATAACTAAGGGAAAAACATAGGCGACCAGTGTTGAAATAATCTTGAAAGTTTAAAGTTGTACTAGTAATGTGTCTCTGCTAGGTGGCAGTGGGGGAGATTAAACACAAAGCTAAATCTGCCAAGGTTGAATAGTACAAATTTAAATTATGAACCCTTGGCTATTGAAGATGGTGAGATAACGAGGTTAGATCGTAAAATAAGATGTGTCCTCAGCAGTATACTCCAGTGAAATTACACTATAAAGTCAGCATCAGTCCTGCGCTTTCACAAGGAGACCAACATGATTATGCACAAACTCACCACACGCAAGCATCTCGCAAATGGGGGAGGCCGTCCTTAAATGACCATGTATAGCTGTTGATAGGACGTACATTAATACTAAACCAAACCTGAAGTTTAGTTTGACATGAAGATCTTATTTATTTGGACAATTTCATGGAAATGATGACTTGTAATTTTAAACCAATGATTTGTTTATTTCAGCTTGCATGCATATGAATGTTATTTTAATAACAGTGTACCCATATGAATCCATGATTGTCGTGAAGTGGTGATATCTTTGAATTTAATACATTTGATGCTCTATTACCTGACCTGGAATGCATTTGTAGCCATACCGAGACAATACAGTAGTAAAAACGTCTCCCAATATTAACGGCTACCAAACCCGTGCTCCATGTTACAAATAAACGCTATGTTTCAGCAGTATCCAGAGGGCTGTTAGGTAGGGTCTGTCCGATTCACCTGCCCTCTAGACTGCTTTTTAAGTTTTACTAAGTAAGTTGTTTAAGTGCCAAATTTTGTACAGCATAATTATTTAGCCTCTTTATCTAAATCCTTCCAACGTAGGTATCTTATGATACAATTTGTTGTTTACACTGTTACAATGTTTTACCATTTATATATATATATATATATAAATGTTAGTCGAAAGACAAGCTCCTGAGAGCTTATGTTAACTATGACATATTCAACGTAAAATAAAGACTCTTGTATCTTGATGTAACATGCCACTATGTTTTTATCTAATAGTTTTAAGATAAAAAACACACACAAGCTTTTAATCACGAACCTTTCCTCGACAATGCGCCTATGTATAATCTTCGGCACGATGAAGGACACCAGTTAAGGTATACTGTTGGTGCCGACATGTACAAATGTATTTAAACTGTAAAACGAAAGTAGGTCTGCGCGATCGCAAACATTTGATGCTGATATTTTCGCATAAATGTCAGTTAGTACTTGATGTGACAGCAATGGATTAAACGAGTGTTACCTTGTGTTGTATTCTAGCACATCAGTGTCTCAATACATACGGTATCAATCTGTTAATGTTCGATAAACGTCTGTTTTTTATTACCGTCCCGATTTTGTCGTGAGTTATTTCCGGGTCACGTTCTCTTATCACATGCGCTTCAGGTTACGTCAAAAAATGCATTTTTTGAAATACATGATGTCACAAAATCTTGATATTTATTAATTTAAGATAGTTTAAAGAATAAACGAGTTAACAAAAACAATAGCAATACATTGTAAATATTATTTTCTTGAATGTTCTCGAAGCAGACGACGCTCGATCATAATCTCGAAACTAGAACATTTTTTTATGAATTAATGAAAGTGATACAGAAAAGAAATATAGTAAACAATTGAAATTAAATTTATCAAAAACATCATCCTTAGAGAGTATGTTCTGGGCATGATCGTTTAGAAGCTTTGCAATACTTCAAACTCTATCAAACGCGCATCAGCTCGAGATTAGGTCCTGTTTACAAAATGGCGATTGGACGTAGCAAGGCGGATAATATTGGAACTTCAATTGTGTATATTTCGGCAAGTAAACCTTGTACAAAGAGCCCGCGTGGTCAGATCATCTAATTTAGTCAAGATGTACTCGGATCAATCGTTGTTTAGTCGCTACGGTCAAAAACATAAAAATTCGAATTATTATATAAATCTTATTTTCATTATTATTATTATTGATGTAATCCGCCAGGTACGACCTCACTGTAAACAGTTAGCAGTATACACTCCAGTCTCTGTGTTTATCAACGGGAAATTGTTTGACGGAAGTGGAAGTGGAATATTCATTGGATGTACAAGTTCCGGTGGTTTTAAGGTAAATAATGTATTATTTTTGAATTTTGTAATACAAATGCCACCTTATCACAATAAAACGGTTCCTGTGGACATCGTTTTTAATTTGCGATTGTTTTACTCGTGTCTTTACTTATCGGACCGTAACATCAATAAACCCGCTGGAGAGGTTATTAAAATATAATGAACTGAGTTTCAATATGTCGTAAAGGGACGTTTTTAATGATACTTTTTAACAATTATATACACCGAATATAACCTGAACAGCTCAGCTCTATTTTATGTCTCGCATAACTACGATAGCATATAAAGACGTCAATGACAATCTGTTAAACCCCAAAATAGAGTGCAATGTCGGAAAGTTATGAATGATAATATTTATATATTTATTGATTAGTAAGGACCAATTGATTTTGAAAAGGTACATGATAAATACTGGGAATGCGGAAGGAAGGCCACATATTTTAATTCCAGTGATTACATGAGATGACTTAGATAACTAAAAGAGGCCGCTCAGGTTCAGTAATTTCATCTGTAGGAAGTTACTCAATCTGTTTTCATACAAAAACTAGATTAAAATTACTAATGTATAAGTATATTTTCATAGGGTCACTGTTTGTGAAATCCCTTTACTGTGGAACTGTTATCAACCCGCATATTCTCAGCATTCCTTCCATGTGTATTAGATATAGCATTTTGTATACTTTTTGTTGTGTTCCTTTTGCATTTTGAAGAATTAAATATTCACATGTTTGCAAAAATAACGCGAGAAACTCAAATCGGGGAAACGTATGTATGTCAGTGTGATTTTCATTAAAAATCATTTCATCAAATTAAAATAAATTTATTCACTTTTTGTATTTTTTATGAAAAAGCTACTTTGACAAGTGAATTTTCATTGCCAACTTTGTAGTGTCTTTATCTGTTCGCAGATTGCCCGGCAGACATGCGCCAGTGGAAAGATTGAAGTAGTTGATATCAACCCAGGCCATTCTGGAATACTGGAGAATGTTGACAACTACTTTATCATCCAATGATCTGTTCTATAACAAAATCTTGGAATGAGAAGGAAATAAAATGTATCATTCATATAAGGTTTTTTTCAATTATTTCCATAAATAGAACCTGACCGTATGAGTTAATAATCTTCAGAGAGGTTCTATAGTGCGACAACAATTCCAAGTGGCCTTCTGATATGAACCTATTTTCGAATATTGCTCTTTTATATAGGTTCAGTAATGTCTTACAGAAAAAAAAACATGTTGATTCGCATTTTTCTTAGTTTCATATGTAACAAATTTTGATGTGCTCAGTTTGATGAAAATAAAACAAGTTTCTAACTCCAATATGTCGAGCTCCATTACGGAAAACATTTGTTGTGATCGATGTTTACATTGGTTTTGACGTTTAACCTGGAGTTGGGAGCAAACTTAACTTGGTAGCCTAGTGCACTGGAGTAAACAAGAAAAGTGAACTTGAGTTCACATCGATGTGCACTGGAATTACCATCGATGTGCACTGGAGTTCACATCGATGTGCACTGGAGTTAACTACTGTTCACAAGGTAATGATTTTTATCATATTATGTATGGCCTTTCCATCAGTTTATACATACTATGATTTTCTCCCCTTCCGTCTGCTCAATAAATCAATAAATCAACAAAATATTAGATGTTACCTATCCATATACTTAAAATGATTTAGGCAGTATCCTTTAATAACAATAGCATTATAACTATAGAGCGTAATGACCTATTAAATTATTAACACATGCACCTACTTGGATCCATGGTACATGTATATATACATGTATTGGTTGTTTAAAGTTTATAATACTTTGTCTTAAAGACATATAATCACCGCTAAAGTTCTTTTATAGTTATAGCATTACTAGTATAACGTCTACATTAAAAACAATGGAAAGCTCATGTAGGTTACTACCTGTACTGTGAAAAAATACTATAAATATATGTATTGTTTCACTCATGATGGGTAACAATGTACTGTAGTTACAGGAATGCAGATTCCAACAAAATATTTATTGAGTAACAATTAAATATGTAGGTACAAAACTTATTATTATGTGTGTGTCGCGTTGATCTGTTAGCGTCAGGTCTTTGTGATGGATATATTACATGTATAACATATTCCCGCGGTTCGGAGAATAGCGGGAATTATTTGTCTTATCGGTTCGATACGGATATTGCCGAGTGTGCTTAGGCAATCGGATTGGCTCTGTATGTAGCACGTGCGATATGTGTCAGCGTATCGGGTACGCGGGTCATTTTCTAGCCGCCTTTCCAGCACGACGGTTATATTAAATTTTAAAAATTTAGCTTTTGGCAGGGTCAGCGGATTAGCGTAACGTGGATATGGTAGGGTAATCCCAGCAACTTGAAGTTTCGAGCCTTGAAGGGCTGGTGCACCTCCTGACTTGTCTGGTTTACCAGTTATTTTCAGGTTGGGTGGCTCGCTTGCCTTCCTATTCTCTACTATATCGCACTAGTGATTTATCTTGTGTATCATAAGGGGAAAGATACACGTGAAAAAGATAAAAGTACAGATTGATATATATGTATAATAATAGCATTAGAATTGCATATGTAAAAGTTTTCTGTGTATGAACATTAGTCAATGTATTTTATTTTTGAAACACATCAATTAAATGCTTGACAATAGTGCACAGCGGGCTAGGCGGGCAAACTGATATGTTTGTGTCGTGTTGTTTATGACGTAGTAGAGATTGGACTCAATATTTGATCGACCTTTATCGTTATAAATCACGAGACAATTCTGTTTGTTTCTCACTCATTCATTATGCAACCGAAATTGCAAATTTTCAAACATTCTTATGTTCCTCCTCGTAGCCTCCAGTTTACTGACGTTTCTTCTTATGCATTGTTGGTATGTTCGTTTCGTTTTAGATATTTTATATGCTTCCGCTTTTTATGTAAACCCGTTCTTGTCACCGCAAACGAATCACCGTTTGTAAGCGTCATCCGTAGCACTTCCGTACCGTTTGCGTAACACTTGCGTACCGTTTGCGTAGCACTTGCGTTACGTTTCCGTACCGTTTGCGTAGCACTTCCGTACCGTTTGCGTTCCAGGTGGTCCAAATTGACTTTTCTACAGGTAAATTTAACCTGTCTGAACCCTGTAGCTAGCACAGGAGAAACTGGAGTTGAAATGCCCTGAGGGTGTGTGTATTACAGATGGTATAAGGTATGATATCATATTACATTTCCCTCCTGATCAGAACGGTACCATCAGAAAACCGGTCACCCTAATGAGTGTCCTCCGGGTAATGAGTGTCCTCCGAGTGTCCTCCGAGGTTTTTGCGCGCCTGCGAGTTCGTTATAAGATTTATTTCACTTTTTTCTTCTGATTCCTAAATATTGTTCATATATCTAGGTGTGTGCAAAATTTAAGGTCGATCGTAACAGTACAAAGTACCGAAATACGTCGATAAAAATGCATATTTGGGAAGAATGAGTGTCCTCGGAGGTTTTTGCGCGCCCGCGAATTCGTTATAAGATTTTTTGCACTTTTTTCTTCTGATTCCTAAATATTGTTCATATATCTAGGTGTGTGCAAAGTTTAAGTTCGATCGTAACAGTATAAAGTACCGAAATACGTCGGTAAATACTATTTTCACGAGGTTGGATTGAGTGTCCACGGAGGAATGAGTGTCCAGGTAAGTGTTCGCGAGCCCGAGAATTCGTTAATCCATTTATTTTACTTCTGTCTTCGGATTCATAAATATTTTTAACTTACCTAAGTGTGTGCAAAATATCAGGTTGACCATAACAGTATAAAGTACCGAAATACGTCGATAAATACTATTTTCACGAGGGTGGATTGAGTGTCCACGGAGGAATGAGTGTCCAGGGAGGTGTTCGCGCGCCCGGGAATTCGTTAATCGATATTTTTTACATCTGTCTTCGGATTCATAAATATGTTCAACTTACCTAA